AACATGGCCTTCTTCCAATTCTCTTTTTTTTTTTTTTTTTTTTGAAATAAAAGAGAAAGAATATTATTATACATAAAGGTACTAATGGGGTACCATCCGAGAACAAAATAATTACAAGTCGATCAAGTGGTATATGACAGTTCCAATATCTTCCCAATCTAATATGTCATGACTTAACAAAATAGAACCAAAAATATAAAACCATCTATTCTTAATGTTTACAATATTAGTTTCAATATCCTCAAAAACCCTTGCATTCATTTCCTTCCATACAACCCAAAAAATGCTTCTTCCCATTCTCATTCATTTTGGTTATGGGAAGTTTGTGACGGATGACTTGCCGAGCCAGATCTTTTCCAAGGGCTATGGAGGAGACAGGGAAAAATGAGCAGGTTTTGTCTCCCTCTTCCTCATTCACAAGTCTCTCCTTTTTGTTGAAATTGAAAGGACGCTCTTCTCTGTAAATCAGATGCTCATTGCTTTGCTTCCAAGTGGTATCTAGTTTTACAATCAACTCAGAAGAATCATAGATGGTTCCTAAAGGTGATGGGGGCCCCGTTGATACGAGTTTGCTCATATTTTAGGGTGTTAGGCAGTTTCTTTTTTCATCAAATATCTAGGGCTGCCTTTGGGTGTAAAAAGAAGGAAAAGGGATCCTATTATTACTACTTAGGAGAGCAGGCCTGTAGTTTAGAAAAAAAGATATCTATCAAAAGTAGGTAGTTTGTAGTTAAACCTGTTAAGGGTATCCTCTTAAACCTCCCCCTTTTATTCCTTAAATTCCTATCCCTTGCAATGTTGCTAATTTTCTTGAGCAACAGAAGTAGAGAAGAAATCCAATATAGTGAAGTGGGACTCAACCAAGTGTCAGATTTTAGCTGAAGGCTTGGGCATCCAATCATTTCCTCCTTTAAGTAAGCTATTCAAGCCAAATGGTTGTGGAGATTCCGCATGAGTAGTGAAAAACTCTGACCAGAGGTGATTCAAGATAGATATGGTCTCATGAAAGAGAGCTGAATTTCAGGGACTATCAGGGGATGCCTATGGCTTGAGTTTATGGAAACAGATCAAGATAAATTGGCCTAATCAGGCAGGTTAATCCATTTTGAATGCTAACAACCTGTCAAAGGCTTTATCTTTTGGTTTGGCCTCCTTTAAAATCTGGTTTCCCTGTCATCTATTGTTAGTAGGCATTCTTTTGCCCAAAATGGGAGAGGCTTGCTAGCGCATTTCTAACACAAAAATCTTAGTGATTAGGAGATTGTGAACAATAAAAGTCTAATTGATGCCCTTGAAGCTTCATTGAAGTAAAGGATATCCCAATGTGAAAGCTTAGCAAGAACGGCATCTTCTCTACAAAATCATGCCACTTTTCCACATTGAGAAAGACTAAATCCTAGATATTTTTAAGAGGAAAAGATCAACTAAATCCTAGATTTTACCTCCGAAACAAATTTAGAAACATAAGGCCACCCCTTACATCATTTTCTTTGTGGGCAGTGCTTGGAGTTGCATTCCCACTATCAAAAACGTAAGTGCCTGATGTTTTCATGACATAATGAACTTTCTACCATCTTTGCTTACAGTCCTTTAAAGGGATAATATTTGGGACTCAGCTATTAGTCCCTTGGGTACTAAATGGGCAGGGAGTAGATCCATCTAGTATGAGTTGATCATATGTGGGCAATATTCACAACCACAACTTCAATACCCTCATGCTCTCTTCTCATCTATCTAGACAAGAGGACCATTGCTTCTAGTTTTTTGGTAGCTTTGGAGGTTCCAGACCTCAAGTAATTTGCTTGAAGTTTGTCCTCTCCCTCATGGAGAAGAACTTGGGAAATTCATTGATTTTATAAGATTCCACCCTTCAATATCCTTCTGTTTTGTGCATGGGCAGCACACCTAGTGACTGTTTAATGCATCCTTTATCTTTTTTCTCAAAAAAAAAAAAAAAAAAAAGAAAAGAAATACAATTGATGTACTTCGCATCCCTCATTTAAGCACAAAAATGCCTGCAAAGCATATATATGGGGGTGTATGGTTGGACAATACAGTATAAAAAAGTTTGACTAGCAGACAACTAATAAAATTGTAGTGCAAGGACAATAGCTACTCTTCTACATATAAGA